GAACTAGTGGTGGAGTGGCAAAGCCCTTGGCTACAGCAAATGAGGATAAGCCCAAATGCAGCAGCTGTGGATGCAGAAACAAAAGAAAAAAGACTTTTTACCCCCTGGAAGGCCTCAGATACAGAGAGACCTCCAGCAAGATACCTTGCCTCCAGTGCCAACCCTCAAATGAGGTCTGGGAGGAGGTAGATCCTGGCTCCACCCCTCCTGGTCGCTCAAGTGCACTGCATGCAGCTGAGCTCCCCTGGGTTGGCCTGCCTTTCACCAGGTGCTCAATCACTGGTTCAAGCCGTAAATTTGCATTTCTGCTACACATCTGAATATTAATTTCATTCTCCAGTTCTAATTTCCACAGTTTTCCAGATTAAAAAGCTGTACCTTTTCAGGAAAAGCAGCATAATCTTCAGAAAATTAAGCTGAAAATTCAGTAAAAACTTATTAATCTGACTAGGACGTCACTTCTGCTTTCTATAATTAGTCCTTCTTATCTCAGTCTCAATTTAATACTGCACTGTTTCATACTGATTGAACTACGTATTTCTATCTTACTGAGCACTGAACTGCTGGAAAGAATCAACAAATTATCTTTAAAAGACTTTAGAGCTCCATTCTGACTTTTGCGAACATCTTAACTCCCCAAATAAGCAGAACCGATACTTTTTTAAGCTGAGCTGTTTTCCATGCACTTTATCATCTCAAGATGAATTAATATTAAGATTCTGGATACAAAATGGCAACTCCCAATTTTAAATAAAACAACCCATGGCTTATATACTTCATATTTTGGCCAACTATATTTTAACCGATTCTTTGAAGTTATTTTTTTTTGCCATCTACTTTCGTTGGCATTTTTTTCTGCTGATATTTATTTTGTGCTTACATTAACAAATTATTACAATTTCTACCATCTACTTATTTATTTGTTACATGGATTGTTGAGCAAAAGGTAACATGGAAAAAAACATACTGAGAAATTGGCAGTGATAGAAATACGAAGCATTTCTCTGTTGTCATGAATATTTCAGAAGCAGAAATCTCTTAATGAGTAAAACCCAGCATATTATTCCCACATGGTTTTATGCTTCTTATTGCATGGTTTTTATGAATTAATTCACAGTGAAAATAATTTTAAGAAATATACAAGTCTTCAAAGTTGTTTTAACACACCTGCAATTCTAGGGCAGAAAATTTAAGTAGAAACTTGTTTTTTCCCTAAATACACGTTCTTGCAACTTCTGTTTAGAATAAATAAACAAAACTGACATAGTTAACTTCTTAAAATGTCATCTATTTTACATGTGACCTTTTTCTTTAGATCCATTTTATGTGTTCAGGTAAATAGCACAGCCTAGTTTACTACTTAAGCTAATATCATGAGGGAAGACAAAATGATTTATGAAGTACTTGAAGATCCAATTGCTCAAAGAGTAAACAAAAATCCTTCTTGAATATAGGCTGGATTCATACATTTCTGTCATCAGAGAGTACCATTTCTCTGACAAAAAAGTTGACTTCAAAATAAGTTTGTTCACATTAAAACATACTATCTATGGATAAGGTGATTCAGCAATCTCTCCACGCGAACTCCCACAGTTATCTCAAAGAAAGAGGACTTTCCAAAAGAAATTACTGCTGTTAGAAAATGAATACATCAACTACTTTCTGGTCCTACCTAAAGCCAAACAACTTGTCATTTAACTAAGGATCTCGCCTGTTGTGTGAGATGTTGCCTACTTCACCATGCTTCCAAGGAAATAGAGAAGAGTGAGTGACTCACTGATGTTAGCAGTATCCACAGATGCATTTTGATAGCATCTGATTGATAGCAGCGTGGTCTCACATACCCCAGCTGTGCCCACACACCCTCTTGACCCTGATTTGGCTCAGGTGACAGGATGGGTGAGCATGTCAAAGGCTCGTTCTGCTGGGAACTGGGCAGCAACTCCCTGAGAGTTGTGTACTTACAGCACTCCAGCCTCCAAACGATTGCACGTGAGCCTAAGAAAACACTTTTAAGCATGTGAGTGAAGGATATGTTCAACCTGCTCTGAAGTAAACCTGCAGGACCGCTGACAGGTGACATGGACAAAAATAAACTACTTGTATCCAGTGATAGTAAAATCGCAAATTTCTTGATGTCCTAAAGAATAAAAGTATATACCTATCTTTATTTTTATGCTGTAGCTACATAGGTAAAAAAGGATGTTTTAAAACTTCAAAAACTTTTAAAACTATACTTCCTTAGTGAGAAAGATCACAGAATCACAGAATTATAGGGGTTGGAAGGGACCTCCAGAGATCATCGAGTCCAACCCCCCTGCCAATGCAGGTTCCCTACACCAGGTCGCACAGGTAGGCATCCAGGAGGTTTTGCCTTGCAACAAGGGTTTCCATAGGCTAATTAGACAAATTGCTAATCAGTTTTAAGTCATTGCCTTTTACTTTTGGGAGGAACCTTTTTTCTGTCACACTGTACATGAAATCATGGACAAACATGCAGTTCTGAATTCAAGTTCCTCTGTAATTCACTCCAGCTACACATTGGTATGTGATCATTCAAAAAGTAGCTGGATGAGATGCTAGTCAGACATGTCTGATATCAGCAGGAATTTGTGTTGTTTGCTAATAGGTAACATACTCAAAAAACAGTTTGGTCTTAGAAACTAAATTATCTCTTTTTTGAAAATCAAAGTATATTGTATCTGAGTCCTTTCCATTTCTGCTGGTTTTTCCAGGTTTTGCATTCAAGATTCTTTCTATGCTTTTATTAAAATTTACTCTAATCTTTTGATATTGGAGAACCTTCTTATTAACATTCACCTCAAGGATACACAGTCTATAAAAAGAGATTTAAATTCTTAATCACTCTCTTGAACATCTTTAACCTGGTTTGCACTGCATTTACTGCTCTGCATGTGTGTGCATTCAAATATTTTGATATCCAATAAGATAACTACTGTCCTCTCTTCTTTGATACTGAGATAAAAGACACATGCTCGCTCTAAATATCAGGCTTTTTCCCTACTACTTTTTTGTTACTATTGTTGTAAACCTCTCTCTTACACTGATCCTCCCCTGATTTTCTAATAGGCAAAATTCACAACACCTTTTTCTGTCTTCCCAGAGGAGTTAGAGGGAACGGTGACTGCTTTCAATTCTATCATTAATCTTTTCATTTGCACTTCTAAAATATTTCCTTTCAAATTCAGAATCTGCTTTCAAAACTAATCTTTTAATTATTCAGACAGAGATTTTCTCTTTCCTTGTTTGCTATTGTCAGCTTTTGCTTCATGAAATTCCATCCATCAGTTGAAATGTAACATGATCAGAAACAATCCAAGTTATGTACAATACATACAAGTCAACTTTAACCCTAGGCAACAAGTATGGTGTTCTGCTCATGTTTCCTTGTCACCTTACCAAAGAATGTAATTAAGCTCTCTACAATAACTTATGTGTCCACTTGTCACCACAAAGTGGTTGCTGTGGATTAAAGTAATAAGCCTGTGTGAGTCTGAATAACATAAAATAATGTCACTTCATCATTTGCAGTTATTTTTAATGTAACTGTAATGAAACTTGTCTCAGATTTGTCCATTCACATCTTAAATTAATCTCTCTTGGCTTCCTCAGAATTTTATGTTGGAGACTATATTAATTGATGCTTCATCAGCTTCAACCACTGCCAGCTCCCTTTCAAATTCTTTTTGCTAATTTGCAAATGTTATATACTGTATATACATCAGATGTCAAAAATCTTGGCTCTTACAGCAGAAAACAAGCATGTATTGAAAATCAGGCTTTATATAATGGATTCAAACTTACAGTACTTCATTTTTTGCCAAGATTATGCAATTAAAAACTTCATTACTTAAATGCTTGCAGAGATCAGCCTAGCAAAGAAGATGATGTCAGCCTGACTAAAAATGTAAATTCCTTGTGTCCCACAGGGGAAAAATGTCAGTGTAACTTAAAATTACAAGGAGACATTTTACTCCACATCACTGTGAAATCAAATTGTCAAAAGCTTGCAGAATTCAGATTGCCATGTATTTGATATGGGAGAGGTGAATAAAAAAGTGTAGCAACGTTACTGGAAAGTTCATGTTTTAAAATAAAGTATTTTTTTCTTCCTTAAACTCAGACCATAAGAGAAATGAGATATCAAAACCTATCTGAAAGTGAAATACAGTGAAAGGTAAAATATTATCATTTTCATCAGCTAAGTTACTTTATTTTTCACCCTTAGAAAATAAGGCTTCACATCTCAGTGAGACTCCACATTTCAGAAGCAGGGTCAGGGTTAACTTGATACTCACTAAACCACCAACAGAACATGAAAGGCAATTTAGTATTTAATACTTAGGTGTTACGCCATCTCAGTAGTTTTCACACAAGATTTCTCAAACTTTCTTCTCTCCATCCCCTGAAGTGTCAGCCTTTCCAAACCATTTTATATTCTGGTGTTGTGCTGACAAATGTGACAAAAGTGCTGACAAATTTCAGCTGTTTTATTTGTTATGAATAGCAGTAGAAAATCTGGGAATAGACTATTGTATTTATGCTGAGAATTCAACAGGAAAGCTTTGCTTTAATCTTCTTATCACTACACTAGTTCAGTACTCCTAGGATTGATGAATAAAGGAAGCTATGTCACTAACATTTACATATGATATCATATAAGACTAGAAAACAGCTCTCTAAAAGGAAATCTCATTCTTCAAAATCATTTTCCTAACCATGTTTTACAAACAACAGATAGGCATGAACCAGCCTAAAACATAAGCCACTACAAAGTTGCTGGCTTCTCATATGTCAAGCGTGGTTTTCTTAGCAATCATTACCTATTCATACTTATTTCCAAATATTCAGCAGTCAGTCATACGCAGACGAGCTCATTATCACACTGGCAACACACGGAAAAAGTACAAAACACAGAGATAGAATCCTATTTGTTCAATGCAAGTACATTTATTAATAGAAATCCAAAAACGACTTACCACATGAAGAATTTTATTCTCTGTTTCATATACTGTGCAATCCTGAAAAAGTAAAGCAGAAAAGACAGGTTAGATTGATCCAATCAATCACCATTCCTAGATTTATTCTTGAAAAGAATTAAATAAAACTGAAATGGATTGAGGATGAAACAAAAGATTTCAAAGTCTCAATTAGAATGGAAAGATTTATATAACAAAAGAGTGAAGCCAGCACCAAAGGCAAAGGAAAATGTACTCTCTCTGTAAGTAAATGAAAAGGGAGAACTGGCTTTAACAGACATGGAGCAAACGGGTACTCAAGTTCTTTGCCTCAGACTTCAGCAGAAGCAGGAAGACTTCCCACTCCTCCGTATCCCCAAACCTCTAGTTGGGGGGAGGTGGGGGGGGGGGGGACAGGGGATCAAAATCTTCCTCTGTAAGAGTGGAGCAAGTTAGAGACTGTCTCATGAGACCGAATGTGTACAAGTCTATGTGGCTGGACAGCATGCATCCCAAGATCCTTAAGGAACTGGCTGATGTGGTTGTGGTACAATTCTCATCATACTTTAAAAGTCTTGGCTATAGAGCAAAGTACCCCATGACTATAAAAAGGGAAACATCACTCTCATTTTTAAGAAAGGGAGAAAAAGCAAGCCAGGGAATGACACACCTGCGCGCTTCACATCTGTGCATGAGAAGATCACAAAGCTGATCCTCCTGGAAGCTGTATTAAGGCACATGTGAGATAAAGAGGTGATCTGTGACAGCCAGCTTTGCTAAGGGCAGACTGTGCCTGACCTTTGATAGCCTTCTGTGATGCAGTGACAACATCAGTAAACAAAGGAAAAAAAGTTGAGGGAGTTGGACTTAATTTAGCTTGGAGAAGTGAAGGCTCTGGGGAGACCTCACTGTGACCAGTACTTGAAGGTAGCTTATGAACTGGAGGGAGACTGACTTTTAAAAGGGTCTGATAGTGATAGGACAAGAGGGAATGGTTTTAAATTAAAAGAGGGAAAATTTGGACTGGATGTTAGCTGGAAATACTTTACTCAGAGGATGGTGAGGTGAGGCGCTGGCACAGCCGCCCAGAGAAGCTGTGGTGCCCCATCCCTGGAGGCGCTCAAGGCCAGGTTGGATGAGGCCCTGGACAGCTGAGTTGATGGGGGGCAGCCCTGCCCATGGCAGGGGCTGGCTGGGCTCTGAGGTCCCTTCCAACACAAGCCATTCTATGATTCTACAACGTCTGTTGGAGCCTGCATGTACTACCCGAAATGTGAGGCTATTTTTCTAAGAGGATTAACAGATGGAAAGCTCAGGGCTGTCAGTTTTTCTGACAGGCCAAGTCTCAGCAGATACAGTAAAGTGGAAATACAGGAATCAGTAAGGAAATGAATACATGAAATGCAACCAACACTGGTGAAAGAACTGTCTTTTCTAAGTTCACAGGGTGCGACAGCTGTGTGGTGATTTGTACACAGTTTAGGATAGATGCTTTATATCCTGCCCAGTAACTCACTTGAAAGATCTAAGGTTCCACGCTGTAAATCCTTTCATTTTTTATCAATCTATCCTCTTTGAAAAACAAGTTTGTTATATGCAACTCTTTTAATAATGAATTTTTAGTCCATGAAATGTTTCTAGTGTTAGGTAAGAATAGCCAGTATGTTCTTAAGCTTTACCTAAAACAACAATGCAGAAGCAGCAAGTTTATAATTAGCAAGACATTCAGGAAACATTTGCCAGCAAGTACAGCCAGAAAAAAAATCTAAATAATTTAATTATATGCAGATATCAGTGACATATTTGCAATCTCAGTAGCAAAATGCACATTTCATTGTTATACATGGAAGGACACATAGCATTTTCAATCTGGATATATTTTGTATTCTGCACTGATTCTTATGACTCATTTTTCCAAAAAAGAAAAAGAAAAAAAAAGACTGTAACACTTATATTGCGGGGAAAAAAAAGGCGCTTTTAGATAGACGTAATTATTTCATTTGTAATGAAAAGTTTACTATAAGTTTAGTATTCAGCTTAAAGAGGATACTGTTTGAGAACTCACTACTGAGGGAAGGAGTTTAAGAACCCAGACTCCATAAAGGTTCATTACAACTAGGAAGTAAGTGAATAAGGGAGAAACACTGTTACATGTACGCACGCGTAAAGGAAGTTAAAAACCTGCTCACTTCTGATAAACCAAGAGTATAAGTAAAAAACATTTCTGAATCTCCCAATGACAGGAAATCAAGTAGAAAACTTCCCAGGCATCTAGAGTCTGCATGGCGCAAGTGGCTTCACCCTGAAATCCTATCCTTATTGCACAGTGTATAATCACTGGATATCAAGATGTTACAATCACAAAATAAACAAGAGAGTTAGGCGAAGTGGACTACGATAACAAGAGAGAATAAATGGAAGGCTTACCCTTATGCTGGGCTCGCCTACAAAACACCCGAAGGGGCGATCTCCAGAAGAGATCCTTCCCCCCCAGTAGCCAGCTCTTAAATGGGTCTAGGAGAGGTGCAGCCAGGCTCCACCCCTTCCGGCAGCACAGGTGAATTGCTTTCACCTGTGCTCCTCTGGCTGACTCATGGCTCATCTCAGGTGATCAATCAGAGGTTCAGGCCATGACTCAGTAGTTCCCATACACACAGCTATCAACAAACACAGAGTCTGGGAAAACAAATTGCTAATGGAGTTCATCGCATATAGGACTGCTGATTTTTGATGCTACCTCCTTATTTTCAGTCAAGAAAAAAATTGTTAAGTAGGTAAGAGAAAAACTGGAGGAAAGCAAACTCAATGCTTCAGTAAAACAATTCCAAAATATGCCTTTTCCATTAAGAAATGGCATGCAGCTAAACATAATTCAAGCCTGAACTCAGAAAAATGTGCAGGAATGCAAAGATCCATGCTACCACAGCCTAGAGCAATCCTGAAGTCTAAGATTCAAAGAAACCTACAGAATGTCACCAAATGGACCTCTATATCATAGCAAGCTTGTTTCAACTTCCCTCAGCCATTCCTGGAGACAAAGGCTGAGATAGTTTTTGAATGATTCCAAGAGCAAAACTTACACATAATTTTCTTTCAAAGTCAACAGCTTATTTCTCCCTGGATTTTTATTATTATTATTATTATTTTATTTTTATTTATTTATTTTTAAGTCATTACACAGTTTTGAGCTTTATCTTCAAGCAAGTGTTATGGACAATTGGGCTCATACTCTTCAGATATCCCTTAGGTAGAACAATGAACTGATTTTTTTACTGGAAGTCTTCACTGCTTACAATTATTGTTTTTTCATATCCATTTCATTTCAACTGAAAATGCTTAATGCACTTGAAAACAACAAAGAGAGCCACTAATTATGCAATTAGAAATAATTTTTTTCTCTTAATAGCATACTACCCTCAGTAAGAGGATAACTCTTCCTTCCAAACCTTGACTATTCCTGAAGAATCTTCTTAACAATCTGTTTACTCACAGTACGGCAAAAATATAGTTATGGTAAGAAACAGACCATATATAAGTTTAACATCAACTTTTTTCTACTTCAGAAAACATGGAGCACACACACACAAAAACAAAAAACAAAACAAAACAAAAGCGAAGTTTTCCTTCTATACAAGACAATTATTTGCTATTCAATTAGTGGAAAAATACTGCGATTAACCCTGAACTCAAGCATGCAGTTACAACAAAGAGGAGCTGTTTTGCTTTCACCTGTGCCTTATGTGAAACATGCATATTCACTGAAAAGTTATAATGGAAGCTAAACTATTTCATCTTCACCTAACCAATTAAACACAACTTCAGCTCAAACAGCTGAAGAAGAATACTGTCTCCTCAGTGCATGTCACAGAATCATAGAATGGCCTGGGCTGAAAAGGATCATAATGATCATCCAGTTTCAACCCCCGTGCTGTGTGCAGGTTCACCAACCACTAGACCAGGCTGCCCAGAGCCACATCCAGCCTGGAGTAAACATTAAAAAAAAAAAACCAACATAATAGAGGGGGGTTGCTAACAAAACAAGAGATGCCGCTCTTCTCCTTATGCTACAAACTGTGTGCTAACTTACATTTACTGAAGATGTAGTCAAATATTGGCCATTAACAGTTTCAGGAAGGAAAAATGGACAGTTCTGTCAGCAAAGGAGGAAGATTAAAAGGGGAATATAATGGCACAATTTAACTGCTAACATGAGGTTTTCACGGTCACTCTTTGCAGCTCTAATTTATGCATCTAAAGTGTCACAGGGCACTTTTGGGCCCTTTCTTTGCAGAGATAGAAGGAAATAAGCTGAGATCTTAATAAAAAGGGAAACATAAGATCCAAAGATGGAAGATAAAGGAAAAAAATGCAGAAGTGAAAAACAGCAAAAACAAACAACAGTAATCAACAACAAGGTTTTTCTGCACTTTCAATTCCAAAACTTCCAAAATTTCAAAACTTATTTGCAAAACTAGCGAGATATGCTACAGTGTAACTGAGATGCATCACTTACATTGTGTTTTTTCCAGAACTTTTGAGCTTCACAGCCACGATTCTGTATTGCTTTTACAAAAAGTTGGATTTTATCATGTCCCTAAGTAAGAATTATTACATACACTTACAATTAGATCAACTTAATTAAAGTAGCACTGACTGGTGACAATGCTTCCAAATGCATATATCTCACCCTACTCTGTTCCTCAACTATGCTAGTACAACTCACATGTGAAGTAACCTCTACAAAACGCAATAGTTATAGATTATTTTTCTTTTTTAAATCAATGGTTATGATGTTTTATTTTTCTAATTTCTCTCCTTCTCCTCTTGCTATTATTTTTATGTTTTCAAACTTCTATCTTAGTACATCTCAGAACTGGGGAACTGGGTCAGCTAATTATACTGACAATTTTCTTTGGTCCTTTTCTTTCCATCAAAGTTGATTAAATCTCAACTCAGGACGTGAAATACAGAGGTCTAGAAACCTGCCAACTCAAATTACTGCTCATACATCCCAAGCAAGTGGGATCTGGAGCTGGAGATCGTGCAGTTCTCCAGTACTGTAA